CAGAAAAGTTTCACCAAAAGACCTGGACTAGAAACCAACTGTCCACTGTTTACTGATTTTGGTTAATGTAAGATATGTTCTTTTATCTGTCTAGGATTCTTCACTTATTAAATGAAATACTACTTACTACAGAGCTATGAAGAAGAAAACAATGTATCACATATATAACAAGCGAATCTGATACTTAAGCCACTATACCAGTTACTTTACTATTTTCATAGTTGTTGTATGAATAAACATTCACTTTTCAAAAAACATCCAGACCAGGCAGTGGTGGCAGGCACAGGCAGATATGAGTTTGAGGCCAGTCTGGTCTACAGAGTTCCAGGACAGCCAGGGATACCCTGGTATCAAGACAGAGAAACCCTGCTTGAAAAACAAACCTAATAATAATTTATTAATAATAAATAAAAAGCATCCAAGCTGGAGGTACATCTCAGAAACAGAGCATATACTTAGCATGCATAAGATTCTGAATCAAAGCTGGGCGCGGTAGCACACGCCTGTAATCCCGGCATTCAGGGAGGCAGAGGCGGGTGGAGCGCTGTGAGTTTAGGGCCAGCCTGGTCTACAAGTTCAGGACAGCCAAGGCTACACAGAGAAACTTTATCTCAAAAAAAAAAAAAAAAAAGATTCTGAATCAATTTCCAAAATAAAAAGGACCTACCCTAACCTCCACAAAAAAAAAAAATATAAATAAATAAAATAAAATTTAAAAAAAGTAAAAGAAAAAGCAAGAGAAAGAAAAAAAGAGGAATGGAGGGAAAGTCTCTAGATTTAAAGTCTGGTGAGATTTAAATCATTAACTGATACTTGGTTGTCATAATCCAAGTCAATACAAGGGAAAATGATACCTCTATCCTTTTCTCTCCCAAGTAGGGCAGTGTGCATGACTTTAATACGGAAGCTTGAGAAATGGAACATGACTCCCCTTCTAAACCAGGGTACTGGTCTAGACTGCTAGGGATGCTAGATTTGTGAGGAGAGTGGATAAAATAAAATATGATCCTTGCCATAATATTAGATCATATGCCCTGCCAGAATGACAGTCTAGTCAGTCTAGGGTTTGGGGAGCAAATATGAGATAGCTTTAAAGGATTCAGTAAAGTTACCAACAATTTAAATATGTCTAGAACTTTCATCAACTATATAGTGAGTTCCAGAACAGCTTGAGCATATTATATGGCAATACTTTGTCTCAAAAAATAACAATATTATTATTGTTGTTTACATTGTGTTTAGGAGTTGTTTGTTATTGGGTTGGGGTTGTAGCTTAGGAGATCACTGCCTAGCAGGTGTGAAACACTAGATTCAATCCCAAATACCTGGTGGGGGCGGCTAGTATTTGTTTCATAGGTCAGCTCATACTTAAAACCCCCGTACTTGGGAGGGTGAAGCATCGGAGGCAGCCCAGGCTAATCGTGAGACCCTAGCTCAAAAATATCTTATCTCCCGAATGTTAAAATTATAGGAGGCAGCTACCTGCAAAAATGACTCTATAGCAAGAGAAAAGGACTAGGAAGACTCTTGGAAAAAAATAATAAGACATAGGCAAGGGATTAGGGTAGACCTGAGAAAGCTGCAGAAGACAGAGGGAAAGATGAAGTTTCTCATTAATCCACCTGCCTCTCAGTCTTTTTCTCCTTAGCAGAAGACATTTACAGGAACAACTATGGGGACATCCAAATTTTGACAAATCACTCTGAATTTTTCCAAGAGACATATGCCATGTTGCTGAGGAAAGAGCATGAAGTTGGAGAACAGGATAGAAAATCCAGAGTGAATAACTATATAAAACATTTAAAGCTTGAGCGGCTATCAATACATCATTAGCAGTAACAGCATCCATACATGAGGTAGGTAGCTTCGGCTATGCAGACTGCTTGCACAAACACTTCCATCACTCAGGGAGGCACATCACAATATAATCTGAATGATACTTAAAACATAGTGAGGAAGGTTGGTGAGATGGCTCAGGCATTAAAGGCTACAGGCTCACAACAAAAAAGATAGTGTGAAATTTAAGTTTGTTACAATCAAGCCATGCTTCTCTGAAAACCACACTTGAGAAAAAGTGTCCTGGGCCGGGCAGTGGTGGTCAGCTGTATCTCGGAAGATGAGTTCCACTGCTAACATTTAATGAAAGCTTGATTCAGGGCCCGGCAAAATGGTTCAAAAAGGAAACGCACTTGTAGCAAGCCTGATGATGCCCGTGAATAGAGAAAGAGAGAGAACTCTAAGTTTTGTTCTCTGACCTCCATATGCAATGTCGGGGCCAACATACATACATGTACGTACGTACGTACGTACACACACACACACACACACACAAACATACTTTTTTCAAACCAGAATCATATTCCAAATAAAAATGTTAAAATCAAAGCAGAGAGGTTACATACATACATACACATCATTTTTTTCAAACCATATTCAAATTCCAAATAAAAGTATTAAAATCAAGGCAGAGAGAGAAGGTTCTATCCCATCAAGCAACACAGTGGGGGAAAAAACAGCAAGATGTAATAGAGATACGGGAAAGACTGTTTGACTTGCAAAGTGTTAAACATTAGCCAGCCCCCCAGGTGCAAGCACTCATAGAGACACAGCCATGGCGCGGCCCCCATCAGAGCAGGCGCAGAGAGCCACTAAGGTCTCCGGAGTCTCCGCAGCAGATGCCTAGGAAAGCGTCTACGTGTTGTCAAGCAACCGGCGGGCCCGGCGGCCGCCCGGGAACCGGCCGCTCCCGTGCAGGGCACCGCCCCCAGCCTGACAGCCCCGAGACCTGCACCCGGGACGGCGCCGGGCCACCGCCTCGCGACGCTCGCCGCCCCGCCGCGACCAGCTCCTCCGCCCCGGCCCCGCGACCCCCCACCCCCCGGCGCTGCCCGGCTCCGCCGCGGCAGGCTCGACCCGCCGCCCCGCCTCGGAGACCCGAGCCCGGCCTCCAGCGCCGGGGCGCCGACCCGTCCCACAGCCCCCCGCACTCGCCGCCCAGGGACTCGACCCCACCGAGGCGCCACGCAGCCAGCAGGCTCCACCGTCCGAGGTGCCGGCGACCCCCGGCGCGGACCGAGTAACTGGTCGCCTCCCTCTGGGCTCCGCCTCTCAGCCAACCGCCAGGCGCGGCCCCGCCCCCGCGGGGCTGCGGCCGGCCCAGGCCGCGCGGCCGACGGCGCCCCCTGCAGACCCGGAGGCCACGCTGGGGGGCCGGGGTAGGGTGGTGGCCAAGCCCAGGCTAAACCTCTCCCAGCCGCCCAGGGCCTTCCCGCTGGTGAGGCTGAGAGGACTCCGCATTGCTCTCACAGGCCTAAGTCCCAGCCCAGCGGTCTGTTCTGGGCGTTCATTACCACTTCAACAAGGGATACTGTGTATGTTTTGAGTGGTTGTGTGTTACTAGAAACGTCTCAGGAACACTAACGTACTCTAACGTCCCCAGGGCGTCCTACATTATACTGTAAAGAGGTTCTATTTTATTCTTCGTTTTATTTTGACAGAGGGTCTCGAATGGAGTGGGGAGAGCCGGCTTCGAACTGGGATCCTCCAGCCTCCACCTCCCAAGTGCCTAGTAGAGCAAATTCCTACCTGGTCTGCTAGGTTCCTGCTTTGTTTTGTTTGCCCCTCCTCCTTGACTTTTCAGACAGGATATCCCGTAGCCAAGATTCACCTCAAATCACTGTGTATGGAAGGCTTTCCTTGAACTCATCCTCCTGCCTCTACTTCCCAGACTACTGAGATTACAGGCAGGTGTCACCAGAGTCGACTTTATAAGATAAAAGCCAACTTTTTCTTTCTAACTTCTGAAGCCGAGGTCAAAAAAAAAAAAAAAAGACGGCTGTGGTGAAGCGTTAACAACTCTGGTCTTGTTTTTTGCTTACTTATTTGCTAAGCACCTGCATTTAAAAAGGGGACAGCCATGGGGTGGTTGTACAGACCTTTCATCCCAGCGCTCAGGAGGCTGAGGCAGGCGGATCTTTGAGTTTGAGGCCAGCCTGTCTACACAGAAAAACTCTGTCTACAAAAAAAACAAACAACAACAACAATCGGATACAGCACGAAGCTTACTGGGAAACACATCCATGTAAAACAGTTACAGAGCCTTGAAAAGGAGATCCCGTAGAAAGAGCAGTTACTGTCAAAGTTAATGGAAGACATCTCAGAACTGTGCTATTTTAAATACTAGTCTGTGCTCTCAAGAAGAAATGTCAAAAAGTGCATTTTAAGCAATGCTTAACTAACCCAAGGAAAAGGTACTAACAGAATGAACAGCTGGGTCGAGGATGCTAAAAGGAGATGATGAACCTGGAGAAGTCTATAAGAACTGTGTTACGAAGAGATACGATCTTTTCTTCCATATATATTACTATTAAATAAAACACAAATTCCATGCTTACCTTTAACTTACAGTCTGGTAAGCATTTGAGGATGGGAGTGAAAGGGAAAAAAGAAACCTTAAGACACTGACGACTGAAACAAGCATCACATTAACTGCTGAAAGAAACAGATTGCCAAAGATTAATTCTGCCCTGAGACATAAGATGTTCAGAGCAGCGAAGACAAACTTTAAAGACGGCACTGAGGCTCTCACAGCTCCTAACATTTGCATGTTACCCTGTAAACACCTCGAATATTAACCTTGGCAACCCGTGAGTTTTGCTCTCCACCTCACAAGTTGCGAAACGCCAACCACAAACCCGTGGGGTTTTACGCTACACGAAGAGTCCTCTTAAAAGAGATCGTCATGTGACCTTCCCCTCCAAAAGCAATATCCAGAACTACTTACACCTCTGTTTCTCTAGAGATATTTAGTATTCCAAACAATTTAACTCCGAAGTAACCTGCGCTCACAAGTACAGAACCCAGCCCGAGTGGCCACCCACAGGCAAGATGGCGGAGGCGGAGTCTGCGCAGTGCGAACCCAGACGGCCGATTCCTTTCTGGCAGGCCAACAAGCCCTTCTTCCGGCGCGAAGGGCTGTAGGTGGCCCTCGCAGTTCGTCGCGCCGCCCGTGCGCCCCGCCGTGCGACGTCACCTCCGGTCCTAAGTGTCATGGCTGCCCTGAGAGGCTAGTGAGTGTGCAACCGTGGTGGGGACGGTGCAGAGCCCGCACGCGGAGGCCCAGCGAAGTCAAGTTACAGTTCGGCTGTGGAGGCGACAGCTTCTCAGGTCCCTCGGCCATGGCAGCTTCCGGGAGCGGCATGGCCCAGAAAACCTGGGAATTGGCAAACAACATGCAGGAAGCGCAGAGTATCGATGAGATCTACAAATATGACAAGAAACAACAGCAAGAAATCCTGGCGGCGAAACCCTGGACTAAGGAGTGAGGAGGTCCCTGGCGAGACGCAGGGGAGGGGAGGGAATGGCGGGAGTTTAAGAGACCCGCGCTGGGTGGGGGCCAAAGGGGAGGAGAGGTTGGCTTTCGCGGGGGAGGGAGGGCTCGAAAGAATACCCGCCACGGTGTTTTTAGTCTGCCTCATCGGAATCAGCAGAGCCTAGCCCCTATTCCAGGGCCTGCTAACACCCCCCCTCCCAGAAAGTTTCTTCAGCCGACTTGCCTCTCCAGGGAGTGTAAGGGATGACTTAAGATGTCACATTCTCAACATGATTATTTTCATAAATCTCGCACACTGCCTTGAACCTGGTGGCTGCATGCACCTTGTTGCAGGATACAGTGAATCCCAAACTGAGGAGCGCAGCTGTTTTCAGAAATCGAATGAGCCAGCTACTGATCTTTAGAAAAGAAACGAAACGAAGGCAGACCGTAAACTCTTATTTTTAGCACCTTTTTTTCCCCTGTAACTGTTTTAGAGACATCCGAAGGCTTACCAGCTCTCTAAAGTACAACCACAATTCACATAAGCCAGGAATTATAAAATAGGGTTTAAAGGCTTTTTGCCCCCTAGCCAAATGCACGTATCTTTGGGACTGACTAATCTGTCAAAAGATTCTTTATGAAGCAGATTGTATTAAGGAGAGTAAAGAAAAAAATCACAAAAGGATGATGTCTAAACTCTATTTTCAGGTGTTTGTTAGCAAAACTGGCTTTAACTGGCAATATTTAGTTTTCACAGTTTTCATTGAGAACTTACTGTGGCCTAGCACTGGCTTGACGATTTTCATGTCGTTTAATAATCATGGCAGTCCAGTACTGTACTTTCATTCCTTTTCTGTAAATAGAAAAATAAGCAAGTACATACAGAAATTCACCTCATGATCATACTATAGCAATGATCTCAGGAGCAACACACTGAAAATCAACTCAAGAGTTAAACTGTTGACTGGCATTAGGAAACCAAAGTATCTAAATTTAACTGTAAGATAAAAATAAATCTAGCTATTGGTGATGTCTTGATGATTAGATGAGGTAATTTATTTAAAATTTCTAGATGAACCATACAATGAGGGCACAGTAGTGGTTGCCTTTCTCTCTTTACCCAGTAAATGGAGGAGCTAAATTTTTCATTTATGTCTTGATTTCCAAGACGGGCTCTGTATCTTTCAGCTTGTGGTTGAAATTTAGCTTTCTGTGAACAGGCATCCGAAAAACCTTGGAGAAACTAAGTGGCCTGCATAGATTACCTGGCTATTCCTAAAGCTGGCTGCACATTTTAGATTGATGTAAACTATCAACTTTCCTCACTGTCTATGGCTATAATATATAATGTTCGTTCTAACATTCAGGCAACACCAGTGGTTTTAAAATGTCTATGTTGTTCAAGAGTTTAATCACATACAATGATGAGTCACAGAAGTAGGGATATTAGATCTGCTTTTTAATTTTCAAGATGATATCAGAAGAGAGCCACACACTTCAACACACTTTCTTTGAGAGTATCTTAAAAGACATGTTAATAAAGGTAATAACAGCACCTTTGATTTTAGTGTTTCAGGGGCTAAGTTAAGCATTTTGTTACTTTTCATGCTAACTGTGAAATACCTGTTTACAGATAAGTAATTCTGGCATTAAGTGGCCCTGATGCCTCAGGGAGTGTCAGTGTCAAGATTTAAAACTAAGCAGGTCCTGATAGGCTAGGGTCAGATGGAAGGGGAGGAGGACCTCCCCTATCAGTGGACTTGGAGAGGGGCAGGGAGAAGATAAAGGAGGGAGGGTGGGATTGGGAGGGAATGATGGAAGATGGAAGGGGCTATAGCTGGGATACAAAGTGAATAAACTGTAATTAATATAAAAAATTTAAAAGATGAAAAAAACAAACCAAAAAAACTAAGCAGGTCCATTTCAGAGGCCACATTTGTAAAAATTAGGTCCTCTGGCTCACTGGGTAAGAATGTTTGCTATCAAGCAAACATCCATACATGGATGTTTATATCTGTAACCATGCCATTGTAGGGAAGGAAAGCAGAGCTTTCTGCAAGCTGGGCTGCCAGCCTAGTCAAAACTATAAGCTTCCAGTAAGTGAGAGACTGTCTCAAGGGAATAAAGTGTAATACCATAGAGGAAAATGAGCTGGCCTTGGTGAGGCTAGCCTGGTATACAGATTATGTTCCAGGACAGCCAGGGCTATACAGAAAAACCCTGTCTCAAAAAAAAAGGATAGAGGAAAACACCCAACAGCCCCTATCATCTCCACATGCCATCTCGTGGCACACTGGTAAACATACACCACATACAATAAATAGGTAAATTATTTAATTAATAAATCAATAAATATAGGTCAGAAAGTTAGAACTGAGAAGGTAATCAAAGCTATGATGAGTGCATATTAATAGAGAAAAAAAGACCTATGGAGTTGATTATACTATTCCCTCACTTCAATAGTATATTTAAAATTTATTTCAGAGTCTTCACTTTCCCCAGCGGGCAGAGATGATGATGACCTGTGACACTATTTCCAAGCACCTTGTACTTAACTGCTTTCTTTTTCCCCCATTCCACACTCCCCTTCTATCACTACAGATCCCTTCAGTATTCATTTATTTTCATAAAAAACATCTTTTGAAATTGTACGATAAGGAAGAACCTTAATTACACTGTGATTTTGTTTTGTAGTCACCATTACTTTAAATACTGCAAAATCTCAGCATTGGCTCTACTGAAAATGGTGATGCATGCCAGATCAGGAGGCAACCTGGAAGTGATGGGCTTGATGCTTGGGAAAGTGGACGGTGAGACCATGATCATCATGGACAGTTTTGCTTTGCCTGTGGAGGGCACCGAAACCAGAGTAAATGCTCAGGCTGCAGCCTATGAGTATATGGCTGCGTACATAGAAAATGCCAAACAGGTAAAAATATGCTTTCTTAAATCTTAATGGCTCTTGAGAGTCTCAAGCTGACTTCCTCGTTTCTGAACTTAAAACTGTCCTTTTCACATTAAAGTTCACATTTTAAATTGAACAATTTTTATGTAAAGTATTAAAAGTCTTGTGAGACTTTGAGTATTAGGTTGGAGGAGGGAGTTCTTCCCAAATAAATTTTCATAGTCACTGTCAGTTGTGTTTAAAATTAAAAAATTATAGGTTTGGCATTTATGAGCTCAGAGTTGAATATCTTCAGCATCCTTCAAAAAACAGAAGAAATTTAGGAATTAACTACTCCTGAGTAGAGTGCATCTATTAATGGACTATATAGCAAGGCTTTTTTTTTTTTCCTTAAACTACCTATATACTTACATGGAAGAAGCTCCAGAATTGTTTGTTCAATATTTTTTTTAAGTATAAAATGTATGTGGTGTGCAGCTGTGTGCAGATGTGTTTGTTAATCTACAGAATATCTCTGTGAAGGTGTATAAGATGTGAGAGTGATAAAGTCTGGGCTGAGAAAGAGATAGATGAGGGAAAAGGTACAGGAGGAGAGTGGATAGCCTTGTTTTTGTACCTTGATAATCTTAGACTGTGTGCATGTGTTTCTGTTCAGAAATTCCTTAGCTTCAAAGCAGCATATGCTTCACACTGTTACTGGACCACAGTGCTTCATAAAACCTGTGAATGACAATATCTGAGATTAAACCATACCTCAAGCAAGCTTTTTCTTTCATGTGTTAGGTTGGCCGCCTTGAAAATGCAATTGGCTGGTACCACAGCCACCCTGGTTATGGCTGCTGGCTCTCTGGGATTGACGTTAGTACACAGATGCTTAACCAGCAGTTCCAGGAACCATTCGTGGCAGTGGTGGTAAGTACAATTTTTTTAAAAAACAGTGTCTCTGCTTTAGCAAAGAACCCTGGTTTGATTCTTATCACCCACTTGAAGGCTCACAACCATCTGGCACTCCAGGTCCAGGGTATTTGAAACCTTCCTCTGACCTCCAAGGACGCTAGACAAGACATATGTTCAAGCAGTCATACATAACATAAAAATAAATAAACGAATGAATGAATGACCGTCTCATGTTTTCCAGGCTGGCCTTTACCTCCTTGTTTAACCAAAGTGAACTCCTGATTCTCCTACTTTGAGCTCAGCGTTCTGGGACTATAAGTGTACACCACCACATCTGTTTTTTTAGCATTTTTTTATTTCAGTTTTGTTATCGTATATTTATTATTGATTTATCTTTTAGTTACCCAGCTGTATTCCCAAATCACCACAGAGACTGGGATTTATTTAATTAACCTAGAGAACAATGCTGGGCAATAGTTATTCCATCCTAAACCTGCAAGCCCACATCGTTTCAGATTTTACCCGTTATACTTGCTTTTAGTTATATCTTAGGTCCAATCCATCTCTCCACGTGGTTCCAAGACCTCTCCTGTGGATTCTCTGCTCCTACTCCTTGCTTCCTTTTCTTCCTCTCCCAACCAGAGTGTCCCACCCTATCCCCTTCATTGCTTAGCCTTGGGGCTGGTTGTTTAATTGACAATATAGAGAACAAATGGTGGCATGTTCACACAAACGAGAAAAATCAGGTCCTGAGGCTTGGCAGCAAGCACTTTTACCCACAGGACTGTACTAGTGGCTCCAATTTTTTTTTTTTCCATTTTACTTTTGTTTCTATGTTATCAGGCTTTCATATGCTACTTAAGAGTTCTCTCTACCACTAAAGCTATATCCTGTCTTTCAGCTTTAGTAAATACTTTAAAATTTTATCTATATGAGTATTTGCATATTATCCGTGTGCACCGCACATGTGCCGGGTGCCTGTAGGGACCAGAAGAGGCCATTAGATCCCCTAGAACTGGAGTTGGGTGATTGGAGGCCACCATGTGGGTTCTGGGAACCAAACCCAGGTCCTTCTGCAGCAAGTACCCTTAACTACTGAACTGTCCCTCCAGCCCATGTAAGTTTGGTTTGGGTTTTATTTGTTTTGTTTTTTTTGGCACGAAATCTCTGTTATGTAGCTCTGACTATCCTAGAACCGTGTAGACCAGGCTGTCCTTGAACTCCCAGAGTTCCTCCTACCTCTGCCTGAGTGCTGAGGTTAACAGCATATGCCACCACACCCAGCTTGGGGTTTTTTTTTTTGTTTTTTGTTTTAGTTCGTCAAAAAGATTTGCTAAATACTGAAAAATTAAAACAGTGTAGTAAATGATGAAGCCCTGGTGTGTTGCCCCTCCTGCATCTCGCACTCCACTCTGAGAATGAGGGTAATTCATAGGACCCATGTCAGCTTCTCAGCTCTGCATAAGGCATTTAATCAGGGTTGACTGAATTGCAGAAGCAGAAATGGCTAGAACCTGTCTTTTCTTTTATGTCCAGGGTGCTTTCGATGCAGTCTGGGTTTTTAAGGAGAAAACTAACAGTTGTTCATCTATTAAAGAAAGTGGGTAGGAGAGGGTAGTTTCTCAGTTATTTTGTTTGTTTTAAAGACATGTTCTTGCCAAGTAGCATGCACAGTTTAAATACTAAATAAATACTCTTTGGTGAAATGGTAACTGTAAAATAACTGAATATTCCTATTTCATTAAACTTTTCTGGTTATTTTGGTTATCTTTTTCAGGTTGTTTGCTAGTTTAGTTTATGTGTATGTAGTGCAATATTTACTTGTTTGTTTTGGATTTCTGATGTTGACTCGGTGGAACATATGGTTTATATTGACCAATATTAAGCATGTATCTCTTGTAGATTGACCCAACCAGAACAATATCTGCAGGAAAAGTGAATCTTGGCGCCTTTAGGACATATCCAAAGGTAATTTGGATGGAGGTTCTCTGCGGGCAGTCTTGGGTAGTCTGTACACGCCGTGAAATTCCTTCCCTCTGAAGCACGGGGAGTACAAGTGTGTCACCACAGGAGTGGTATGTGTTCATGAGTACAGGCACTGGTGTGCAGGTCAGAAGACAGCCTTGGGTGCAAGTCCTGTCCTCCCTCCTTGTTTGAGGCAGGTTCTTTTGGTTTTCAGACTTGTATAGCTGGCTTCTGTGGAATCTCTCTTCAGTGCCCCCTGTCTATGTGCACTAACCAGCTCTGATTTGTGTGGGTTCAGGGATCCCAATTTAGCTTCTCATATTTCTATACAAGCTTTTTTTTTTTTTTTTTTTTTTTTTTTTTTTTTTCAGTGCTAAGGGTGCGAGGCAAGTGCTGTAGCCAAAGGGTTTTATTCATTAGGAAATGTTTGTGTGCCCATGGCAACTTATCAAGTACTGGAGAAACAAGCTGAATCCATTTCCTTCCCTAAAGGGAGCCTGTAGTCAGCAATAAGAACAACCACATAAGAACAAGAGAAATAAGGCCATAGGCCAAACCCCGCCTAGAGGAGCCAACAGTGTTGGAGTTTTTAGGAGCAGTGTGCTTTTCTTAGATTTGTTGTTTGGTTTTGCTTTTAAATAAAATCACACTCTGTATAGCCCACGCTCACCTGGAGCTGGCTCCATGCTGTCATCACAACTGTCAGCAGTCCTTTGGATTCTGCCTTCCAAGTACTGAAATTAGCATGTGTGAGCCACCAGGCCCACCTGTTATTAAAATATTAATGCTTAATATTTGGCTCTCCAGATTTTGGTCCTATCCATAAGAAGCTATAGAGTAAGGTAAGAGGCTTTGCTTTTTGCTATTTTCAATTTTCTGTTTTCTTCGGGGGTTTTTTTAGGGCTATAAACCTCCTGATGAAGGACCTTCTGAGTACCAGACTATTCCACTTAATAAAATAGAAGATTTTGGTGTGCACTGCAAACAGTGAGTAATTGACCAGACGTCAGGGCCATGGATGTAACACAACAGCAGAATGCATGCCTGTCACTCTCAAGGCTCTGGGTTTAACCCCAGCACCAAAACTCAGACAAAATGCATTTGATAATATATGGCACCTTTGAAATAGTGGTTAAAAAAATGAATTTAGGATAATTCTCAAAGTATTCAGTTAATAATTACTCTTTTTACTTACATTTATTCTTCAATAATTATATTAATGTAGCTCATATCTTTCAAATAACCATAAACATTTTTTCATTGCACAGGATACGCAATCCACAACAAAATTTACAATTGAGTCATATAATACAGCTTGACAGTAACATGTTTGCTGCCCTTAAAATATGCAATTTTGGGGTGGCAAGATGGCTCAGTGAATAAAGGTCCTTGATGCCAAGGCTGAAAACCTAAGCTCACTGTTGTATAATTACTACTTACTAACCTGATTCTGACAGTACAGCATTCACCAACCTAAGTTCAATCCCCAGGACCATACAAGAGAAAGAGAATTAATTCTTGTCTGTTACCCTCTGACTTCCACATAGTACATTCATCCACATGTTACTCATACATAATAAATAGATGTAAGGTTTTGGTTTTTATTATTATTATTATTATTATTATTATTATTATTATTATTATTATTTTGGTATTTTGTTTGGTTGGTTGTTGGTTTGGTTTGGTTTTTGGTTTGGTTTTTTTGAGACGGGGTTTCTGTGTGTAGCCTTGGATATCCTGGATTCGCTTTGTAGGCCAGGCTACAAAGAGGATCACAGAGATCCACCTGTCTCTGTCTCCCAAGTGCTAGGATTAAAGGAGTGTGCCAGCATGTCTGGCAGCCATAGCATAGCTTCTTTTGTTTATTGTTGGTGTATGTATATGTGTTTGTGTACATGTATGTGGGCTCACGCACCATGGTCAGAAGAAAATATGCAAGAGTCAATTCCCTTCTTCCATCATGTGGATTCTGGTTATCAAAATCAGGACAAAGTAAGGACCTTTTGTCTTTACTCTTGTTATGCAGCTTTTTGTTAGGTTCCGTTACTGTGACAAAATACCTGGGATAATGAGTTTATGAGAAGGAAAGTTTTATTTTGGCTCATAGTGTCATGTTTCAGTCTTCAGTCAGTTTTGTTGTTCCTAACCCAGCACATCATGGCGAGAGTGTGTTAAAATGAAAGGCTCTCATTTCCTAGTGGCTACGAAGCATAGCCAGTTAAAGAGGCTTTGAGGAAGCTGGTGTGCCTAGTCACCTCTCTTCCTTCCACTAGGTCCCACTGCCTGAAGTTTCTACCACCTCCTTTGTGTCTGCGGATCAAGTGCTTGATACCTGGCCTTTGGAGGAAACCAGGTCCATAGTATAGCGTTCATTGCATCTCTCAATGTGCTTCCTTGGCCACTGGACACATAATAAATCTTTTCTTATACAGTTATAGGAATGAGTAAAACCATATAGGTAAAGCACTAAAGAGACAAGGTTTCTCTATGTAGCTCTCTCTGTCCTGGAAATCACTTTATAGACATAGACCAGGCTGGCCTCAACCTGAGATATTCACCTGCCTCTGCCTCCCAGATGTTGGGATTAAAGCTATGCTCCACCACCGCCTGCCCTTATATTCATATAACAAGTTCTCATAAGAGTAGAAGAACTCAGCTGTTGATTTGGAGCTAGAAATTCCTTAGAGGCCCGAAGGTAGTGCTTAGAGAAATCTTTAATAGGCTGGTGAGGTGGCTCAGCCAGTAACAGGATTTGCTGTTCAAAGCATGGAGACCCTGGGACCTAAGTAAAAAGATAAAGGTAGGAAGAGGGAACAGACTCCACAAAAGTTATACCATTTTCCCTCTCTACACCTGTGCCATGGCGTACACACATATATAAGAGAAAAGTACATTAGTTTGACTGGACAGTTAGCAAGAGCAGAATTATGTGAGGAAAACCCAGAAAGCTATGTTGTGGTCTTATTTGTGGAAAATATTTTCTTAAAAGCTAATAAATTTAGCCTTTATCTTCTGGTTCCTTGAGACTCATGGAAGGTGTTTGTGCAGAGCAGTGATACAGTGAGAGGGTAGTTTGAGAAATCTGGCCATGGCAGTTCAATTGGGTATTTAGAGAAACTGGAAGATGGAGACCCAGAAAGGAAGCCCCTGGAGCAGGCAGACAGGAGGCGAAAAAGGCTCAGACTCTGAGGCCATTTCACTGGGACCCAGTGGAAATTTGTGTCATGTTGGCACAAGTGGCTCTTGATCAAGGTTCAGCAGTGAGGAATAAAAAGTTGACTTCAGGGCTGGAGAGATGGCTCAGAGGTTAAGAGCACTGGCTGCTCTCCTGAAGGTCCTGAGTTCAGTTCCCAGCAACCACATAGTGGCTCACAACCATCAAAGATAAGATCTGGTGCCCTCTTCTGGCATGCACGTGTATATGCATGCAGAACACTGCATACATAATAAATAAATAAGCAAATAATTAGAAAAAAAAAGTTGACTTCAGGGGCTGGAAGATGACTCAGTGGTTAAGAGCACTGGCTGCTCTTCCAGAAGGATTGGGTTCAGTCCCCAGCACCCAACATGGCAGCTCAGACCTGCCTCTAGCTCCAGTTCTAGAGGATCCACTCACACAAATCGTACAAAGATCTGTTCTAATAACAACTGTTTAAACATAAACTTTCCAGTCGTGAAAGACAGTTATTTTAAATATTAGAGTCCACTTTTTAAAAAAAGACTTATTAGCCAGGCATGGTGGCTCACACCTTTAATCCCAGCACTCAGAAAGGCAGAGGCAGGTGGATCTTTGTGAGTTTGAGGCCAGCCTGGTCTACGAACTCTAGGGCAGCCAAGGCTACACAGATAAACCCTGTCTCAAAACAAAAACAGAATGAATGAACAAACAAACAAGCTACCTTTCAAAGCAGTAGAAGTTCTAGGCACCTTAGGAACTCTTCTAAGAACGCTCTTCAAAAACTACAGAAAGGAAGAAGTGGGAACTCCAAGTCACCTCTAGTATTCTTACAAAAGGTAACAAACGTACAGCTGACCCCAGAGAGCATCTCTTTTAGCTCAGCCTGTTCTATAGAACTGGTGAGCTTGATAAAAAATCCACACGTGTCATTTAGGGATTCTGATTACTACTAGCTTTTAGAAATTTGGAGGTACTACAAAAGGGAAAAAAATAATATAAAACAAAAGTTAGCAAACAGATTTAGAGTAGCACCACCTAAAAACAAAAGAAACACTGTCTTTACCTGTTCAATTATGATTATTTGAATATAAAATATAATTTTGTTTACATGTAGCCAAGACTTCCATCTAATATAACACTGCATTTTTTTCATTTGCCAAATGTGTACTCTTGTTTTGTAGATATTATGCCTTAGAAGTTTCATATTTCAAATCCTCTTTGGATCGTAAACTACTCGAGCTTTTGTGGAATAAATACTGGGTGAATACCCTGAGTTCCTCTAGCTTGCTTACGGTAAGTACCATTGTACTTCTTTCATTTGAATTTTGTTTTGTTTTGTTTTGTTTTGTTTGATAGCCTTACTCTGAAGCCCAAGCTGGGCTCAAACTCATGGTCAACTCAAACACATGAAGGTCAAAGGACAGCCCAGCAGTGTCAGTTTTATCCTTTTATATGGGTCCCAGGGATCAAACTCGAGTCATTAGGCTTAACAGTAAGCACCTTTATGCACTGAAACATCTTACTGGCCCCTGGTTTTGGGGCTGGATTTTTAGGATCACAAGCAAATGCCATTAAATTTGACTCATTTGAATTTTAGCCAAGGTGCAAAAGCTGTGTAATATTTGGAACTCATTTCACAGAAAGGCCCATCATGAAGGCTGAGCTAGATGAGGATGGGCAATCTAAATGGGGTACAATCTGTTTGTTCCTTAAAGAGATTAAGAGATTAATAGAGGAAAAAACAAAAATGCTATTTGTGTTGCTTCAGATAGCAGGTAGGTCTATGACACATAACACTAATTCAATGGCTCTCAGACTGTAGGCTGCAACCCCACAGAGCTCACTTACCAGATATCCTGCATATCAGATATTTGCGCTAAGATTCATGATAATAGCAAAATTACAGTCGTGAAATATCAATGAAATAATTTTATAGTTGGAGGTCACCGCAACATGAGGTACTGTATTAAAGGGTCACAGCATTAGGAAAGTTGAGAACCTCCGCTCTAGTTAGAAATAACAGGATACGGAACAAAGGAAAGGCACTGAGTAAAGCAGTAAGTCTAGGAGCAGAGTGCTCCTTGGCACATTTAGTTTCTCAAGCGATGTTGTGACGTCACAGCTTTCTTTCAGCTTTGCAGGGCTCATATTCAGGCTTCGTGTGAAAGCAGATGGCAGCTTTAGTTTCTCATCTCACGATGGTCAGAAGACAGAAACCAGCATGCACATCCCTGCATGTTCTCCGGCAGTGTCTCTTGTGTTTGATCAGCTTTGCTTAGATCATATGCTCATCTGCCCAGAGCAACGATTTTGATGGGTGACTGGGCCAAGACAAGAGGCTCACTACTGGGCTGGAGTGGAAACAGCTGTTCGAGGAAAATGGAGAAAAAGGTCTTGAAAAGAAATCTGAAGATCATTACAAATACCAGGCAGAGAAAATCATTAGCTCAATATTTCCAAATACATCACTAAAATCTAATGTGGTTAGATAGATATATATTTAATAGGTATGTATTTAGAACTTAGGAGCAGTTTTGTTGTTTTTACTTTTTGATTTAAAAAAAAAAAAGAATTCATGTAGTATCATTTGAAATAAACAGGGTTTGAAAATAAATCTGAGACTACTGGTCCTCAGTGACCTTCAGAAAGTGATTTGTCCCCTGGGGTCCACACCAGCCTTGCAGTTGCTACATAGCCAAGATGACCCTGACCTACTTTCTTTCTCCACCCTCTGAGTGCTGGGATTACAGGCAGGTGCCATCACACCCAGCTTCCGTAGCCTTTCCCTGCTCTACAGTGGCGGCAGTACTGGAGTGTCAGCAAGTACACTAATACTGAGGCACTGAATAAGGCAGTTATAAAAGTTTTCCTGGAAAGACTCACTGGAGCCTACTTATTCATATCTTAAACATAATTTTGGCAAGGTTTATGTTCTACTTACTAGAAGTAGCAGAATTAAAAAGACAGCAAGCTAGGCACGTCTGTGATGCTGGTCTTAGGGACTTGAGAGGTTGAGTCAAGAGGATCGGGAGTGCAGGTCTTCCTGATCACACTGTTAAGCTTGGGCCAAATGGGACCATTTTGTTTTAGACAAAAAATAAAGGAGGCGAGCAATCATAATAGCAAATATTATGTATTCCTTGTGTCAAGCACTGCTAAGTGTCTTATGTATGTTTGCTTAGAGACAAGTATATTTGCAGTCTTTATTAGGCACACTGGACAGTCCTAAGAGCTTTGCATGTATTGTTTATTTTGTTTTTAGAATGACTTTAAGGTAGAAATTACTGCCACCACCTTCCATTTTCAAAAGAGGTCCAAGAGGTATGGTTCAGGCTTCCAGCTAGCCTGCAGCAGGGCAGGGCCAGAACCTTCACTCACATAGGGAATCCTCAAAGCCTTCATAATAGCAAATACTTGATTCAAACAAAGAAAATCCCACGTTCAATTTTGAATTTGGGAGGGTGGGGGCGCAGTGAGCTTTATTGAGCGTATTCGAGAGAGTAGGGCTCCCTGGGTCCCTCCCGCTATTCTATAACTGTGAGGGAGAAGCGCAGTGTCCGGGGATGAGTTGGGACAGCAACTCCTCAGCAGCCAAGAGCCTCTCTCTTGTGTCCTTGCTGGGGTGAGTGGTCCAGGGCTTCTTACTCCTTGGAGGCTGTGTAGGCCGTGAGGTCCACCACCCTGTTGCTGTAGCTAAATTCATCAAAGGTGGAAAAGTGGGAGTCACTATCGAAATCGCAGGAGACAATCTGGTCCCTCAGTGTAGCCCAGGATGCCCATTAGTGGGCCCTCACATGCCTGCTTCACCACCTTCTTGATGACATCATACTTGGCAGGTTTCTGCAGTCGGCATGTCAGATCCATGACAGACACATTGTGGGTAGGAACACAAAAGGCCCTGCAGTGAGCTTCCCGTTCAGCTCTGGGATGACCTTGCTCACAGCCTTGACAGCACCAGTGGCTGCAGGGATAATGTTCTGGGCAGCCCCACGGCCATCACACCACAGCTTTCCAAAGGGGCCATCCGCAGTCTTCTGGGTAGCAGTGATGGCATGGACTGTGGTCATGAGTCCTTCCACAATGCCAAAGTTGTCATGGATGACCTTGGCCAGGGGGACTAAGCATTTGGTGGTGCAGGAAGCATTGCTGGCAATCTTGAGTTGTCATACTTCTCATGGTTTACCCCCATCACAAACATGGGGGCATGGGCAGAAGGGTCAGAGGTGATAACCCTTTTGGCCCCACCCTTTCAGTACGTCCCAGCCTTCTCCATGGTGGTGAAGACACCAGTAGACTCCACAACATACTCGGCACCAGCATCGCCCCATTTAATGATAGCAGGATCTCACTCCTGGAAGATGGTGATGGGCTTGCCATTGATTACAAACTTCCCATTCTCAGCCTTGACTCCGACATTGAACTTGCCATGGGTAGAGTCATAGTGGAACATGTAGACCATGTAGTTGACATAGATGAGGGGTCATTGATGGCAACGATCTGCACTTTGCAGGCAGCCCTGGTAACCAGGCATCAAATATGGCCAAATCCGTTCACTCCAACCTTCATCATCATGTCTAAAGGACAAGGCTGGCACTGTATGAAAAGATGCGGCTGTCTCTGGAACTGGGAGAATCGGAGAGCCTTGAAATTATTTTTTAAAGATCTACAATTAAATTGATAGGTTTTAGGAACAGTTTTTACTGCTATAAACTAACTTCTTACCTATATTCCATCTTTACATTGGTATTATTTATAAATAAAATCTTAAATTAATTCACGTAAAAATCGGGTTTTTAGTCAGATATGGTGGCACATGGCCTTTATTCCAAACACTGAGAGGCAAAGGCAGGCAGATCTGAGTTCAAGGCCAACCTAGTCTATATAGCGAGTTCCAGGCCAGTTAGGACTACATAGTGAGACCTTGTCTCAAAAAGAAACATGTGCGTACAGAATGGATGGTATAACCTGTAGTTCTAGGAGAGTACGGCCAACTTGGGCAACCAGCAAGACCCTATCTCAGAAACAAAGATGAAGGCGTGAGAGTATAACTTTGTAGTGGATACTGGCTTCATGAATATGTGGTCCCTGAAGGCAGTCTTGGCCCTGGATGAAAACAGACTTTTTTTAATGGTAACTTTGTGTGGTGTAATGACAGGATACCATTTTCTCCACAGAATGCAGACTACACCACTGGCCAGGTGTTTGATTTGTCTGAGAAGTTAGAGCAGTCGGAAGCCCAACTGGGACGTGGGAGTTTCATGTTGGGTTTAGAAACACATGACCGAAAGTCAGAAGACAAGCTTGCCAAAGCTACTAGAGACAGGTAAGAATCCATGTGCAGGGCTCCTGCCCGGATTCCTCTCAGAACTTGCAGGTAGTAAATTCTGATTCCTGTGGTTCAGCTTAGGATGATGCCTGCTATCTGCTGAGCCATTTAAAAAAGTCGCATGTAAATTTTAAATTCACACTTTGAAAGTTTAGGGGACATTATGCAAAGTAGAAAGCTCAATGCAGAGATCATAGAAAACGCCAAGTCACCTGCATAGGTTTAGCCACATGGTGCACAAGGAAATCAGGTCCCTTACTAGATCTTTTATTGGAGGAAAGGCTTACAAAGGTATGCTAACCCTTTTCCTCAACTCAGCATGATTTGAAGGATTAAATTAAGATAAATTTGCCACATTTCAGTAAAGAGTCTCTCAAGTCTTTGTGCTATAACTCTTTCTGTGGTATTTAATTATCCCATATTTTACTTCCTAAATATTTCCTTGGGATGTGGTCTCTGACGACTTGGATGATAATGTGGCTCTCTGATGCATATACTGTATAGGGTTGAAAAGACTAACATTTGCTGCCACAAAAAACAAACAAAAAAAAAAAACTTGATACGGGCAAAAGGAAAAGCTGACTCACTGGTGTCTTATTTTTCTATTCTGTAGGGCTTTGGGCTCTTTCTTCAGCTCACTTGCCCATTTCCACTCTTGGGGTGATTTTTTACTTTTTCCCTCTATGTCCTCCTGGTGCGTACCAGGGATTCTACCTGTACTATATTTTTCTCTTAAACGCTACTGAAATTGTCTTTGAGCATAAAGAAAAAAAAAAGATTGTTCCCATAGAAAGGAGGGAGGTGGGAAGATGAATTTACCATGGCAACTGGAGTCATGCTGTGTCAGAAATGCCTCATGCCAGTGGTGAGATGTCGCTCAGTGGCTAAGCACTGAGCTGTCATGCACAGGCTCTGGCTTCATCCCTAGCACCACAAAGCAAACCAAGAAACAACTCATGGGCTTTCAGAAGATAGGGTGGCCCAAGTGAGTCACATCTGCTTTGGCTATATTTATGTCTAGAAATCATAATTTTATCTATTTTTTCAGTGCTGGGCATGGCACCATGGCACGTGGATTTGTTTGTGTTGGTTTTTGTTTTTTTTGGGGGGGGGTGTTTTGCTTTGTTTTTATCTATTCATTTTGGATTTTGTTTGTTTTGTTTTCTTTTTCCTCATAGGATTTCTTTAAAAAAAAAAAAAATAGGGAGGTCGAAGGCAGTAATAAAAATGTAAAACTTCCTCTTGGGAATTGCTTTAATAAAAAGTTAACTCTTCTCAATATTGGAGTTTTGTTATTTTTTTTGAAATTTAAAATTGTTTTTTAATTTATTCTGAGCAATAACAGATTTTAAACATTCTTTTACACTGACTGGTGTTTTGTATATGCATGTGCACATGGATGTGTTCTCTGATGTGATTGTGTGAGTGCATGTATTCATGGTATACATACTTGTGTGCACTCATGGGTGTGTGCATTGGTGTGTGTGTGTGTGTGTGTGTGCGTGCGCGTGTGTGTACACTTCCCAAGCATGCAAGTAGTGTTCAGAGGATAGCTTGTGGGATCTGTTCTCTCCTTTCACCATGTGAATTCTGAGAATGTAACTCAAGTCATCAGACTTACTAGCAAGACCCTTTACCCAACTGAGCCATCTTGCCAGCCCTATGAATAATATATTTTAATATAATACTAGAATCTGTGTAATTGTTTAATATTGCTATATAGATCCACAATGTATAGTTTTAGTTGTCTTCAAAAACAGTTTTTCCAAAGCCCGAGTAACATAATTAACGTGAATTAAAGTTTACATAGTTATTCTTTTATGGAGGGTCAAATCAGTAATGACACACTAACAGGCAAAGCAGAATGTTAAAAAACCAAGGGGAAAAGTTGGTGTGATTTGAAGAAAGTGAATGAAACAATCAATCTTGGGCATTCAGGGATGGGCATGAGGGAAAGGTGTGCTGTTTGCAGCTTTCAGTCTGTAACATTCTGTTTCTTCTTTCCAGCTGTAAAACTACCATAGAAGCCATCCATGGATTGATGTCTCAGGTTATTAAGGATAAACTGTTTAATCAAATTAACGTCGCTTAGTTACCACTGAGTACTTTTTCCTGAAAGCTGGTATGTGGAAGGAAAACAAGCTCAAGTGATGCTTTTAACCCAGTTACCAAAACCCAGATTAGAAGACTAAGGTGCTGTGTGGTGTTCTGCGTGTTAGCACTGTAATAAAACTATTACTGAAATGGTCCTCCTGTGGTTTTTGTGGGCGGGGTTGCTCTGGGAGCTCTTGCTGGTAGGAAAGAAAAGACTTGCTAGACCTTTTGTGTGTTTCTAATCCTGCCTGTCAAAGTAACCAAAGACTCTCAACAGTTAGTTACACAATGGTCATAAACTTTTCAGTTTTTCTTGTAACTTCTCTTGACAATTTAGTGGTAAGAAATGTAATTTAACTTAAAAAACAGTAATAAAATAGGGTCTCGCTACAGAGCCCTGACTGGCCTGAGTCTCATTATGTAACCCAGGTTACAAACTCACATCAGTCTTCCTACTCAGCCTCTCAAGTGCTGGGGTCACAGGCACGTGCCACTGCTCCTCGTTATCACTTTCAAATTCCTATGAAACGACGCCAAGACCCATCATGTTTGGTTTTCCTGAAAACCCTGCTCAAAACTCAAGTCCAAGTGCACGAAAGACCTCAACATAAAACCAGACACACTAAATCTAACAGAAGAGAAAGTGGGGAAGAGCCTTGAACTCACTGGCACAGGAGACAACTTCCTGAAGAGAACACCAACAGCTCAGGCTCTAGGATCAGCAATTAATAAGGTACAAGGCAAAGGAAGCTGTCAAAATGGCAGCCTACAGAATGGGGAAAGATCGTCAGCAACCCTATATCTGAGAAAGGGCTAATTCAGAATATATAAAGAACTCAAGAAATTAAACACCAACAAACCAAACAACCCAATTTTAAAATGGGGTACAGAGCTAAACAGAGGCCTGGGACAGGAGAGACTCATGGATGTCTATGGGGGTAAACCCTAGCTGAGACTCCTAACAGCAAGGGATACAGAGCCTGAAGTGGCCACCTCCTATAGGCAGGTGGGGGTCCCAGTGGATGGAAGGGGACACCAACCTACCCACAAAACCTTCGACCTAATGTGTGCCCTGACTACAAGATGCGCAGGGATGAAGATGGAGCACAGCTTAAGGGACTGGCAAACCAATGACCAGCCCAATTTGAAACCCACCTCATGGGAGAGAGCCAAACCCTGACACTATTAATGATAGTCTGCTATGCCTGCAGACAGGAGCCTAGCTTAGCTGTCTTCAAGGCTTCATCCCACAGCTGAGAGAAATAGATGCAGAGACCTACTGCCAAACAATAGTCAGAGCTTGGGAAGTTGAGAGGGAGAAAGGACTGAAGGAGCCAGAGGGTTCAGGGACAAGACAGGAAGACCTACTGAGTGAACTGGCCTGGGCCCATTGTGGCTCACAGAGACTGAACCACCAACCAAAGAGCATTCATGGGCCAGACCTAGACCCCCTACACATATGAAGATGGGCAGCTTGGTCAACATGTGGGTCTCCTGACAATTGGAGCAGGGACTGTCTCTGACTATGGCCTCTGGCTCCCTTTCCCCTAGCTGGGCTGACTTGTCTGGCCTCAGAGGGAGAGGATGTGCAGTCCTGCCAGGGCAGGCTGGGGTCTCCCTTTAAGGGGGAGATGGGGCATGAGGGTGAGACTGGGGTCAGGAAGAAAAGTAAATACATTAACGGAAAACAAACTTTTAAAGGAAACCTTTTAAAGTGCCTTTAGAGGCCAGTGAGTTGGTTCAGTGGTAAAAGGGTGCCGGCCACACAGGTCTGGCTACCTGAGCTAGATCACTGGAACCCACATAAAGAAGTGAGGAAGAACCAACTTCACAAGTTGCCCTCTCACCCTCTCACTCTTCCATGGCTGCGACAAAACACCATGACCAAGGCAACTCATAAAAAGAAAGTTTAATTGGGCTTATGGTTTGAGAGAGTCAGAGTCCATGATGGCAGCAGCAAATACTGAGAGCTCACTTTTTTTTTTTTCACCCTTTTATGGAAAATACATTCTTTACTCACATTCCAATTAAGAATTTTCCCTCCTTCCTCTCAGTTCCTTCTCACCATCTGGATCCACTCCCTTTTTGTCTCTCATTAGAAAAGAAAAGGCTTCTAAGAGATAACAACCAAACATGACAAAAAAAAAAAGATATTTGTTTTACTCACATTAGAGTTAGACAGGACAATCAGAAGAAAAGGAGCCCAAGAGAAGACACAAGCATCAGAGACCTACTCTTCCATACAACTCCAGAAAGACTGGTAACACTCCAATCCATAATTACGTATTGTTTCCTTTTCCTAATGAGATCTGTGAATACCCTCTGGTCCCTTACTCTATACCTACCCTCTGTGGTTCTGGTTGCAGAGAGCTCAAGAGAGAGGGAGAAAGAGACACTCAGAATGGCACCCATCTTTTGAAATCTCAAAGCCTTCCTGTCTCCTCCCCCACTCCCCAGTGCCATACCTCCTGCAACAAGGTCACAGCTCCTAATCCTTCCCAAACTGGACCAAGAACTGAACCATATGAGCCTATGGGGACCATTCTCATTCAAACCACCACAGATTACATGTATAACGTGGCACTCATGCTATTACACACACACACACACACACACACACACACACACACATAAAAGAAAATGTAAAACTGCCTTCATATGCTGTAAGAGATCAATGGAAACAAAGTGTGCAGATTTCTGGTGCCCTTATCAGTAAGGCAGTGTTAGATTAACTAAACCAGTTAGTTTCCAAAATACTTAGTATCCACACATCTCCTTATTATTTGGTTCACTTGTTTTGTTTTAATATTGCCTTTAAGTAGGTGGAACTTCATGGCTCAGCCTCACCTCCATTTTTATTTACTTGATTTTTTTGAGACAGAGTTTCTCTATTTAGGACTGGAAGTCCTGGAATTCACTGTACTCCAGGCTGGCCTCCAACTCAGAAATCCACCTGCCTCTGCCTCCTAACTGCAGGAGTTAAAGGTGTGCACCACCACCCCCCATTTCTACCCTCCATTTTTATGTCATTAAAGGTTTTATATACAGCAAAATTTATATTTAGTAACACAATTTCAGCCACATGGGTACCATGTTGAGTCATCCTACTAAGAAAAGCTGGTTGAGGTCTCTCAGATGTGATTGAATAGTTAAGATTTTAACACATGATCCAGTTAGATGACTCATCAACAAAAGAAGTCTGCTGTCAAGCTTTCTGACCTGAGTTTGAGCAGCAGGACCACACGTGAATGGAGAGAACCCATTCCTGAGCAATGCCTTCTTACCTAGGCCCAGTGCCCATGAGAGTGCACAGCACGCCTTGACATGTGGACATGCACACACTAATAAACGTAACATAAAATTTTCTTTCAACATTTTGATAGAAGAGAGCAAGTGTTGAGGTTGCCATGACTCAAAGATAGCTATCACAAGGTTCCTCTTGTGTGCATATAGTTACATGTATGAATAACTAACTAGATATAGACATGAACTGTGCCATTGAAGTTAAGTGGGACTATTTGGAAAGGGGAAGAAGATAGAAGACAATAAGGAGTGAGCATGGTCAATGTGTGTTATATACTCCTTCAGTATACAGTATATACTAAAAAGTAACTTATTTTTATTTTGGTTTTTCGAGACAGGGTATCTCTGGCTGTCCTGGACTCCATTGGTAGAGCAGACTGGCCTTGACTTCTCAGAGCGCCACCTGCCTCTGCCTCCGAGTGCTGGGAGTAAAGGCTTGCACTACCACTTCTGGCTTAATGAGGTACTTTTTCAAACCATTTACTTAAGCACAATTTTGACATTTAGCTTCACATTGGTAACCTAGTCAATGAGGCTAGCATAAGATAGAAAATGTCTATGCTGAAACAGTACCAAGAAAAGGAAGCTTTCCGGTAACGACTTTACTGGATTGTTTTTCTTTTTTTAAGAAGTCTCAGTATAGTAATAACTCTACCTTGGCTAGTAACAAAAAGAAAACAGAAATGATTTGTTTAAATAAAAAAAAATTGTATTTGCTTCACCAAATCCTTTGGCTTAGACAGTGTTTCATTAGACTTCCTGGCAGGGTTCTGTCCTCCACATGTTGATCTAAACCTCAAATTCATTTCCCCGAAACTGGCTACCTATGTATGGTACCGCTTAGCGGGGGAGCCATTCCTCAGGGTCAAAGTAAGTTGCAGACCGCACTCTGATTGGCATAGCCTGGGTCATGACACCATACCTGGAACTATATACAACAGGTGACTCCTAAGCCTGGGAGGGGTCAGTAACCAAAACTGCACAAATGTTCACAGTGGAAGCCACAATGTCCCCTCAGTCAGCCATGTTTGGAAGCCTATCTCTAAGGCTTTCTGTTTACTATTTGTGGGATGAGCTTCGTTTTGTTTGTTTGGTATTTGTCTTTGTTTTTTGAGACAGGCTCTTGCTACGTAGCCCACGCTATTTGAAAACTCAGACCTGCGTCAGGTCTTATTTTTTCTTATCTGTAGGTTTTAATGTGTTGTCATGATTACATTTCTTATATGAGTGTTCCAATTTATAACTGCTTTTAGAAATCCAGACTCAGTTTGCAAGCATTGTTCATAAACTAAGCCACGAGATGGGAGTTTTTGCTGTTTCCTGCAAAGTATTGTCTTACAGCCATGAACTATTCAGGAGCTGAAAGAGCCATTTTTCCTAAGTGGAGTCTGGTTCTTGTACAGTGTCACAGTTTTCAGAGATAATTTCTCTAACTCTTTAGTGATAATATACAGGAAATGTCAGTCTTCACAAAAATTTAATCCCGATGTCCAAGTAGTAAAATGAGCCAGAGCAGAACAGGAGCAGGCCTGGGAAGAAAAGTCAGTGGATAGGGAGTGGGGGCTGCAGCCAGCAGAAACCCAGCGAGATCTGAGTCAGGGCTGTTCCAAGTTCCCAGCTTGTTTTAAAGGTTCAAGGTCCAACTTCCAAAAGGAGAACAAATATACATGCACACATGTGGCTTATGTGTGTGTGCATGTGTAGCTAATAGTTTAGTAGATAGATGATAGATAGATAGATAGATAGATAGATAGATAGATAGATAGATAGATAGACAGACAGATAATTTTTTTAAAACACACACAAAAAGTTCAGGCACTTGGAACTATTTTCATGTGACACTCTAC